AACCCGGATGTGGACAATCCAATCCAAACCCCTCCAAAAAAACATACCAAACAGGCCCCAAAAGTTAACGCTATCTGCCCATGTAAGGACGACAGCTGCTTTAATCAATTGTACTAATAGCCATACTAATAATCTTCTTTATGATTAATTGCTTTAGTCTTATCTACTTAGGAGCTATCTTACTAGTTTCTATCCTTGCTTCGAACAAGTAAAATAGGGCAAACTTTTTTTTTCAAACTGGTCAAGAAATTCCACTTGAGCTGGAATCCCTGCAAGAAGTTGTATAGGTATCAAGGAGATAACATGTTTAAGCAAAATAAGCCGCCCTCCACTAGAAAACAATGCTTTCATCTACTTGGGATTGGATGATCCTCCAATTATTTAAAAATTGAAGATCTCTGCAAAGAACAGATATGAAACATAGTCCTCACTGACAACGGACGAGATGCATAACCTCATCTCTGCTTCATTAAAATGGAAGAAGCTAAATAGCCGTCTAAAATACCTTATTCAAACAAGTCTTATTCAACAAACTGGACATCTCGAAGTAGAACCTCAACTGTTTCGGTTTCAAACTATGCAGGAATTTAGAAGAGAAAACAACATTTAGGCAGGAATATGGAGAGGGTATCGGCATTTGGTAGATAACCAATGCTTTAGATCTTCCAATGATGTAAAATATATCATTGCACAACAAAAATAGAACTGGCTGACTTTAGATAATAAGAACGAGTGTTGAGACAAAAAGGAATACATAGCTTCTGGTAAGATGTATAGAACATTTTCTGCTCACATTTCAGGTGTTTCGAAACAAAAATAAATAAACAATGCTGGGCAAAAAAGGCACAATCAGTCAAAATACATTCCATACAAACTACTACCCAGTACCTGTAGCATAGCATGGTTCACTTGATTTGCCAGACCTATATGCATTTGCAGCGCAAAACTGAAATCTACATATAGCTTCCAAGAAGATCAGAGCCACTGGTAGTATTCTCCCCCATGGCATCTAGAAGTTAATTTCTGTCACAAGAAAATGGAGCAGTTAGAAATTTCTATCCTCAAATTTTTGACAGTTAAAGAGAAAATAAAAAATGCCACCGACTGGCTATATCACAGGTCAGAATTCTGTTGCACTAAAATATTTGCAACAAAGTTGCACAGATAACTTGCTATCCGGAGACTAGTTCTCATAACCCCAACTGGCTCTCCTGGGCACATTCAAGGTTCTGCTAGGCTTCTGTAGTATCTTTGGCACATTTAATATTTGTGGCAGAGAATTTTGATCTAATAAGAAGTACAGAAAAATTCCAACAAAATTATAGCATAATAATCTAGGCAACAATTAAAAATGTCTAAAACTTTATGGAGATCTGTTCATTTAATTTTAACCTATTAATTCAATCCAGTATAGAAGCACACCCCTAAACAGGAAAGGAAAAACAGAATACTGAAACTAAGTAGCAGAAGATCTGTGAAATCGAAAAGGCAGTGTGAAGTAGATTGTGTGCTTCATGTTTGCAACACCCAACAGGAAGCAAATCAAAACTAAACTCACATCAAGAGGGCTCAGCCTAGGATAGATGGTTTTGGGATCAGACATGCAAATCCATCTCTTCAATAAGAAACGACAAGTTCTTGAATCAAGCAGAGAACAAATGCAGAATTCTAGCAGAAGGATTAAATATTCTGACCATAGTTATCAAAATCATAAGATTCGCGATTCGATTCGTACGATTCAGTTCGACACCGATACAAAACGATTCGTATCTTATATGAGAATCGTTTGAGTTGAATCGCGCCTGAATCATACGATTTATACGATTCGATTCGTATCTCACGAATCGCACAATTCAATTACTTTGTTTTAAAACCTAATTTTTTGGCAAAACGATGTCGTTTTGTCCGATAAACAGTAAAACAACGTCGTTTTATTTATAGAGGAACCCAAGTCCTAAAAAAACTCAACCTATTTGCTCGTTATCTCTCTTTAATGTCGTCTAAAGCTCATCTTGCGTTGCGTAAAACTAAAGGTCACAGCTAGCGCTCTCGAATCATCGGTTGATTTTTGCTCCCAATTCTTTCATAAGTAGTTTGTTAGGTTTTAATTTTTTGTTTCAATATGTTGGCTAGTATGTTTTCTCCCAATCAATTTTTTTATTTGTTCTTTTTTCATTCATGTTTGTAACCTAATATGTACTAGGTGTCACTATTTTAATTCTTGAATAACCATGGTTTTTTTAAGAATTTTTTTTAAAAGTTATTAAATTTGAAAATAGTTAATTAAAAGACGAAAAAGAAACAAAAGGCTAGTGTATTTCCGTTTAGACAATATAATTATGTCAATTGATTATTTTTAAAATGCAATAATGTTTAAAATTTAATATTTTATCTATTTTATCTATTTTAAATATGTAATATTATTTTTTATTTTTTTCAAATTTTGTGTCGAATCTTAAGATTCACAATTCTCAAATTTAGGATTCTGATTCACGATACGAATTACGATTTAACAACTATGATTCTAACTAATTACCCATCAATTGATATTAACACGCCGATCCCACATCACTACAGAACATGCATCCCACTTCCCTTCATATGCAACCACCTCCAATCCATCTTTTCCTATGGATAATGAAGCCTACATAACCAACAGCATTCCTGTTTAGTGTCTATGGACCATCAATATGAACCAAAGTGACATTTTCCTTCTTTTTGTTTTTTTCCCGGTGCATACCTGCTTTTCCTGTAACTTTCTTGCAAGGAACGACTTTTTTCATGCCTACCCTTAATCAAATCTTTTTTTGACAATTTTTTTACTTCAAGTACTGATCATATTCGTCTTCATGAACCTTTCTGTTAGTCAATCAAGTCATACAACAACTACCACAATCAACCTTCGCCATATAATGCAAACAGAAGTTTCTATTCCATTCTTTATTTATTTATTTATTTATTAGAACAATAAGTTTCAATGCCATTCACACACTTGGAGTCCCACTTCAACATGCAGTTCTAGAATAATTGAGAATTCCTTCCTTTCTTATCCACTCAAGCTCCTGAAGTCTGATTAGTATAATTATTTCTAGCGCCACAATTCTGAGTTTGTTTCAGAAGTTTAATAATAAGACAAAGAAAGAAGGAAGCTTAGCATAATTTTTAAATACTTTCCCCCAAAATTTCATGGAATAATAATCCCATTTCATTAGATTGAATGACATTTCAAGATTTTTAGGAGCAGGAATGAGAACAAAGCCCCCAATAAAGGAACAACCCTTCTATTTATCTTAAGTGCCTCTAGAAGAACGCTGAACTTGTAACCATTTCGTCCAAATAAAGCAGAGTACTATGTCTGCTGTCTCACATTCCTTAGGCGGGAGGCTTCAAACATCTNTATGTACTAGGTGTCACTATTTTAATTCTTGAATAACCATGGTTTTTTTAAGAATTTTTTTTAAAAGTTATTAAATTTGAAAATAGTTAATTAAAAGACGAAAAAGAAACAAAAGGCTAGTGTATTTCCGTTTAGACAATATAATTATGTCAATTGATTATTTTTAAAATGCAATAATGTTTAAAATTTAATATTTTATCTATTTTATCTATTTTAAATATGTAATATTATTTTTTATTTTTTTCAAATTTTGTGTCGAATCTTAAGATTCACAATTCTCAAATTTAGGATTCTGATTCACGATACGAATTACGATTTAACAACTATGATTCTAACTAATTACCCATCAATTGATATTAACACGCCGATCCCACATCACTACAGAACATGCATCCCACTTCCCTTCATATGCAACCACCTCCAATCCATCTTTTCCTATGGATAATGAAGCCTACATAACCAACAGCATTCCTGTTTAGTGTCTATGGACCATCAATATGAACCAAAGTGACATTTTCCTTCTTTTTGTTTTTTTCCCGGTGCATACCTGCTTTTCCTGTAACTTTCTTGCAAGGAACGACTTTTTTCATGCCTACCCTTAATCAAATCTTTTTTTGACAATTTTTTTACTTCAAGTACTGATCATATTCGTCTTCATGAACCTTTCTGTTAGTCAATCAAGTCATACAACAACTACCACAATCAACCTTCGCCATATAATGCAAACAGAAGTTTCTATTCCATTCTTTATTTATTTATTTATTTATTAGAACAATAAGTTTCAATGCCATTCACACACTTGGAGTCCCACTTCAACATGCAGTTCTAGAATAATTGAGAATTCCTTCCTTTCTTATCCACTCAAGCTCCTGAAGTCTGATTAGTATAATTATTTCTAGCGCCACAATTCTGAGTTTGTTTCAGAAGTTTAATAATAAGACAAAGAAAGAAGGAAGCTTAGCATAATTTTTAAATACTTTCCCCCAAAATTTCATGGAATAATAATCCCATTTCATTAGATTGAATGACATTTCAAGATTTTTAGGAGCAGGAATGAGAACAAAGCCCCCAATAAAGGAACAACCCTTCTATTTATCTTAAGTGCCTCTAGAAGAACGCTGAACTTGTAACCATTTCGTCCAAATAAAGCAGAGTACTATGTCTGCTGTCTCACATTCCTTAGGCGGGAGGCTTCAAACATCTTCCCCTCTACTAAAATCCAGGTGCCCATTTGTTCTTTTTAGCCCTTCACCTTTTTGAATTGAGACCAGTTCTGGGCAGACTCGTGGAGCTGCAGTTTGGATATTTTTACTCTATGCTTGCACCCAGTCCCCCTCTCACCTTCTACAGCCTCATGGATATATTTTCTTTCATGTGAAGATCCATTTCTGAATGTGAGAGTACGCATGAAGGTGGGACCCTGGGGAATTATATTTACACTTCCGTAAAGCATAACTCACCTGATTCATAAAGCAAGCACAAGACCACCTATCCTTTTGTGTACAATCTCTATTTTGTTAGAAACTAATAGAATCTTGCATTTTTCAAATCTATATATTTATTTTGGTATTGTGAATATCAAAAAGAATAAAGAACACGGACATTTTTTATTTGCTTGTAGCTAACAGAGAATAGAGCAGTGAAACTCCCATTCTGTTTGATAATTACAAAGTAAAACTCCTATTAAGCATTACCATAGATGAGATGCCTATTGCGTACATATTTGTTATAAGATTAAGAACTGTCTGTTAAACACAAAAGGGCACAAAAGAACTTGTATCTCTTTTGCCATCACAGGCTTAGCCCAGTTTGACTAGCCCCTCACCTCCCAACAAGGAGGTCAGGGATTCAAGGCTCATAAGAGGCATATGTGAGGCATCTGTGAATGCAAGGGTCAGCTCTTGCCAGGTCTAAGATATAGTTTGATCATCCCAGCCATTTCCCTTAGGAATGGATGAGATCCCACTTGCATCTCCATCAAATACTATGAACCAAAAATTAACGAAGTTACAAAAAAAATGAACGTATTCTATTGATATTTTGCTGAGGCTAAGCATGTTAACCATCATATCATCTAGTGAGGCAGTGACAAAGATTGCCCATACATGGATACATATATCAAATGTGAACAAAGGGATACACATCCAATAATTGCAATATATGTCATAAAGACTGCCAGCAGTTCACAGATAAATTAGGCCTTCTAGGACAGATAATAAGCAGTCATCAAGATGTGCTAGCAACTCAGAAATAGTAGAACCATATATGCAGCCCAAGCTCTTCGTTAAAGTCATTCATAAACCATGGACTTACAAATGCACTCATATGAATCATATTAGGAATGGGGAAATTTTAAGATGTTGCCAAGAGCATAAACTCAACAAATAAGCATTCATTTTTGTGTGATGACTATGGACACAATCAATAAACTGATCTCAAATTGGACATCTTAAAATCTCTCTGAGCTAAGAAAATAACTGAAGTGAAATTGCTGTCAGTTCATATCTTGCTCAAAGTTCAAGATTGCAAGAACCATGACTGCATAACATTAAAGCTAGCTGAAATGTCTATGAATCATGTCTACACAAGGGCTATATATATATATGAACCTTTATAGTAACATCCTTCAACCCACAAAGTTTGCTACTCATGCAATAGTAATCTGCCCAAACCCCCCCAACCTTAGAAAAATAGACTTTGTTCCTCTTATTAGCTGCTCAAAAATATTTTCTAGCCCAGGATTGCAAATTAAACAGTCAGCTGACTACTTAAGCACACACTCTATTTTTACATATTCCTTTAAATCTATCTAGTATTACAGCTAAGAAGTTGAATTCTCATTTTATAAAAGCACAACGTTTAAGATTGGTCCAATTTTTATTTATTTTGATCCAATGGCATAAAATTCATCTCAAAAATTTTTTTCCTGCTAAAAACTTCATCTTATTTGCATGGCCCTCAATGTAAGACAACTCAACCAATAAACTCCCCAATGCCAAACAACACACAAATCTCTATATACCTCTCTCTTCTTTCTCCCCTAACTTTCTCTTATTTTCTATATGTTCCCTTTAATTTTAAATTGTGTAAGTAAAAAAAACAATAATAATATTTAAAATATCAACATTGTACAATCAAAGCCCGATTTTTGGTATTACAGAGTATCTTGAAGTATGGAGTTATTACTAGTTATTTTATACGCAGTAATGTTATACCAAAGAAGTTTCACACCAAACTTGCTAAAAGAATGATGTGACCCACTAGTACTCTTATCATTTCAAGACAAAAGAAATATTAATACCACGGTATTTACAAAAAATGTCACTGCCAGATCATCCATTTAATAATTCTCGCCAAAATATTAGTTTGAGAATCATTTTCCTTTTATGAAATTTTTAGTTTAATATCATTTGTTTACTCTCATAAACTTTATGAGAGAGAGAGAGAGAGAGAGAGATTTTCATCTCCCTCTCCTCATGACATGAATCACACATGCTGTCATTACTTGTAAGTTATATCAAAATTTGAAACACAAAATGTGTGCTAGTAAAAATCATGTCCAACTTCCCAAATAACGACAAATCATATACAAGGGATGACAATTCTGATGGAATTATATATGGTTAATGACTTGAAAAATTCACAGAAAGAGAAATTTTAAAAGATGGTTCTGTTGAATGTAAATCAAAATCGGATCTAAGTAATAAAAATTAGATCTAAGTAAGTGAGGTCAAATGAGATTTTTTATCAAGGCCAATAAAATAATCAAATACTTTGCATGCGGTCGGGTGAATCCACATTTATGTGCAGCTAAAGTCTCAACAATTATCAGTCCAAATATTAAAAGAAAACATTATGTACAATTACGGAACAAGTACAGAATCCTCCCAGATGAAGCACAGATTTTGTGCTACAAAAGCAGAACATTCAATTGAGATTTCATGATAATAAACAATACCATTAGCGATTTACTTATCAATGCACTAGAGGAGTCTTTAAGATTATAAAGGCGTGCCTGATTGTCAATCTTGTCCCACAACCCTGTCATTGACATCCCCCGTCATCAGAATCAACAAGAGTAGTCATATATTTGATGAGCAATAATTATCAAAATAGCTCCACAAACCCTTCTTTCCATGAGAAGAGAACCATTATCTCACATAAGACCATAAACTTTGCCAACCTCGAGCAATTCATCACCACAGTTTCTTACCTTACCGCAAAAGTTTGCAAATGTCACCAAATATCATTCTTGCACAAGACCAGACAAATTCTAACACAAAAGCTTGAGTCAATAGTAAACATTCTCAAATTACTCTACATATTAAGGTTTGCTACAAATACTCTTCCTTCCGAACAAACAAATTACCTTATCCAGATTATAAACGAAGCAATCAAAAATGCAACTCTACGATCAAACATTAGCTTAAAACCATAAATATAACACCCTAAAAGCACTTGATTCAAAATTTTGAAACCAAATCATTGTGCCTAAAATCACATTCTTATTCACAACATAGATAGGCCAAGTTATCAATACAAAAATCACATAAAAAATGCTACGGTAATAAAAAAGAACAATTAATCATAAATGTAGTAAGCTCAAAAATTCAATAAATCACATTTCCAAACGAAGCAATGTGTAGCAAACTGTAAATTGGAAATGCTCTACCCACCGGCTATGAATTTTGCTTGGCCCGCTTAATCTTTTCGACCTGAACCTGTGATTCCATGAACAGTTTCATCCTCTGAATCTCCAAATCCTTTGCAAACTTCATTCTCTCCTTCTCCAACTCCACCATTTGCCGTTGTTTCGCCTCCTCCACTCTCTCATATATCTCCCCAAACCTCCCTATCGCCTCTGCCAACTTCCTATAGCCTTCCCCGACTCCATCACTATCTCTTCTTCTATTCCCTGCGGCACTCGACCTCGATCTCGACAATTCCTCCGATTCCTCCTCAGACTCCACCGCCGCCGCCTTCACTGGAAGATTACGCCGAAAAACAGAGTCGTGGACTGATGCCGACGCCGGACGTTTGGATCGGGGTGCGACGGGGACGGCGGATGGTGGCGGAAGGAGCAACGGTGCGGGGAGTCTTTTCCGGTGAACAGGCGGAGTGGGCGCCAGCGAAGAGGAGGGCTTGAAGGAGTTTCCGATGAGGGAATCCAGAGGAGTAAAGAAGGGCCACGTGGAGGAGTACTGGCCGTTGGATTCGAGAACCCTAGATTTCTCGACTTTGTACTTCTTCTTCAGTGTGTCGATGCGGTTCTTGCACTGTATGTCGGTGCGATACTGCTTCTTGGTGTGGGCGTGGAGGGCGTTGACCGCGTCAGCAACTTCTTGCCAGTGTTTCTGCCGGAGATTGCCCCGGTTGAGGGCCATGTAATGGGTCCCCCATGCCTCGATTAGAGTGTGAGTCGCCGGTTCCGACCAACAATCCTCGCGTGACGGAAACGCCGGCGTATGGGAAGGCCGTGACGACGGCAGCGGTGGTAGTGGAGGAGGTAGGGTGGAGGATGGTGGTGAGTTGGGAGTGGGAGAAGGAGAGGAGGAGGTAGAGGGGGATGATACGTCGTCGTCTTCGTTCATGGGTGGTGAAAGTGGCGGTGGAGAAGCGGCGGTTTCTGACTGGTGAGAGGTAGTGGTAGAGGAAGAGGTGGTGGAGTGAGAGTGGTGGGTGTCCGGAGAAAGAGGGGAGTGTAAATGGAGCGGCGAGGAATGGGAGTGCCGGCTGTCGATGGGGTCGTGAGAGGCACGTGAGCGAGGTAGGGATGTACGGTCGGAGTCGGGGTCGGGGTCGGGGTCGAGTCGTCGGGACATTCTCATTGATGTTGTCGGTGAGGAACGTGCGAGAAGGGACTTTGATTCGGAGTTTGGGCTTTTCACGCTGGGTTCAGCCAGCCAGTGATAAAAAGTGGGCGCCGAACAGAATTTTGTCAATTAATTTTATGAAAATAGTTGATTGAATCCAACTGGGTCTTATTAATCTATTTTTTTTGAAAAAAAAAGAAGATTTGACCAGAGGTACACAATTATGTACTTTGAAGGTCAGAAGTTCAACGCAAATATTTTTAAGATGGGAGATCCATAAAATACGTAGTTATTAAAAATATCTTTAATAGAAAAATTATTTAAAAACATCCATCCTATACCAGCACCACCATTATTACTTTTGATAGTTAAGTCAATGATAATGAATTAAAAGTTAGTGAACTCAATGACAATGAATTAATAGATAGTGAACTAAATATCGTAAACTAAAAACATTCTAGTCTACTCTCTTTCTAAATCGATTATTTGATATGTTGAATTTAGATGAGATTTGATTGTATTTTATGAAATTTTTAAAAAATCTTCATTTAGATTGACGAATTTTGGATAATCTTACTAGTTCGGTTTTGTGAAATAAAGACAGTGAACTTAAGACAAAGAACTTCAATAGTGAACTAAAAAAACAATCACTTTCCCTCTCTTTATGAATATGTGTTTTGTTATATATTGTAAATAGAAAAAAAGTTAAATTTTTTAGTCCACTATTTTTAGTTCACTGTGAGATGTGGTGGAGATGAATTACTATGGAAGAAGAGTTAGATTTACTCATGAGAAAAATAATGGCGCTTGTTCGGCTTCAGTGGGGCAAAGTGCAAGACATAATTTGGGATAATATTGTCATATAGAAAAAAAAAGAAGAGAAAAATTAGTTTGTATTGCATGCCAAAAGAATTCAAGGGAGCTGGACTTCACGCCTTAAAAAATACATGTATGGACTTATTGACAAATTAGGTAAAAAATTTGTAGTTTTCAACAATTCTCACCATTTTTTTTAGGATCCACTCATTTGATCATTTCCATTTATTTAATAATTTTTTGAATAAATAATTATTCTGTTTGGACAAAGAGGGAAACACAATAGCATCTCATTTCTCGACTAATCATCTAAAACAAGTTTCAGGTTTGAATCACACCTTTAACAATTGGGAAAAAAGGGTCATAAGTTCGTAGGCAGCCACTTTTTGGAATTTTGGTCTAAACTAAGTACTTTTAAGGAAAAAAGTCTAAAATGTGTGCAATTGACAAAAAATTCCTTTATTTAAATGGTTACTGTACAAAAACACGTTCGAGAATATGATTATAGGTTTCCTATTAAATCGTGTCATGCTCAATCGATTCATAGTGGAAATTACTACCTATTTCAAATTTTTATGGCACAAATCTTGCCTGAAATTATTTAAAAAAAAATGATTTTACATAGAGAAACCATACGAAATCATCTCCTCTTCAAATGAACTAGGGTTTGTGCATTTTAAGCAACAAGTTTGTTGAACTATTCATTGTCGCAGTTAGGGTTTCAAGTATGTAGTTTTACAATTCTTATAATTTTCTTCGCTAGGGTTTCAAGTAAAGTGATGGCAAAATCAATTTTTTTTGTTATAATCCACATAAACAAATACCAAATAGGCTCTAAGAATTGTTCACTGTCATAATCCACACAAACAACACAAAATATTTACAATTTTAAAGCAAAAATGTTCAAATATTCATATATTTTCACTGCAATGAAAGCCATAAATTTATCATGACAATATAAGCCTAACATTGTTCACTGCCAAATAAGACATATATTATAAATTTAATGACTGTGTTTTATTTGTTATTGATTAAATGTCATAAGATTTCATATGCAAAATCAAAATATTAGTTCACTGTTCTTTGTTGCATTATCAATTATTGCTTCACTATCATGTTGTTGACACATGAATAATTTTTAGCTCAAGTGTTGCTTACTACGGCTGATTTCTAATTGTAACTGATACTCCACTGTCTAAGTCTGCAATTAAAATTTGATTGGTGTATTAACTTATATTAAAATGGTGTCACTGTCACTAGTTTTCCTTCGAAGTTTATTTCTAGCCTAACATTTTATTCACTATCTAATAGAGTGGATTGCAATTTTGACCTATCATTTCGGTTTTGTTTACATATGTTTCACTGTCTCATGATGTCTTAAACAAAAATATATGATGGCTTCCGCTATACTTGACAATGGTCTGTTCACTATCCTATTGCAAAGTTGGAATATAAAACAATGTTAACATGTGCAAGAATAGGAAGGAACACAAGCATCAAGAACTAACTTGTACGACATACATGTACGTAGAGCAAGAGAGAGAATTGAGCCCTCCATATCTGCGTCAATACTAGAAGTATAAAAGCTTGAAACAAGGACTAAAAGTACAAGAACACATACAAAACAACATTATAATGAGAAGACTTCAGATAATTGTAAATGAAAGGAATACAAACTAAGTGTAAAGCTCTCGTATATATAGTCAATGAGAGTTACAATAAGGATAAAAAGGAAAAAAGGAAAACTTAATAAAATCCTAATAAACTAGACTGTTGCTATATCTCCAACACTCCCCCTCAAGCTTGGCGCAAAAATGTCAACTAAGCTAAGCTTGACAACGGAGTCCCGAACAATAGATAGAGTGACAGGTTTGGTAAAAACATCGCAACCTGATCACTAATCCACACGAATGATGGAGTGACAATACCACTACTAACTTTCTCCTGAAAAAAGTGAACATCGATCTCTATATGTTTCGTCCTCTCATGTTTTACAGAGTTAGAAACGAGCTGAATAGCAGATCGATTATTCCAATATAATGTGGATGAAGAAGTCATTGAAAATTTCAATTCACCAAGAATCGATCGTAGCCAGATAATCTCACACGTGCCAAGTGTCAGTGCCCCGATATTCTGCCTCTGCTGACGAGCGGGAGACAACTGTCTACTTCTTGCTCTTTCTAGAGATAAGATGAGTCCCTCGAAAAGCACAGAAGTCCGTAGTAGATCGACCGTCACATGCTCCCCCATAATCTGAATCTGAATAACAGGTTAGAGAACCGGTCTGAGATCCTGATGCATAAAATAACCCAAGTCCAAGACAAGACTTAAGGTACCAAAGAATATGATAAACTGCATCGAGATGAGGCTAACACGGCCTGTGCATAAACTGACTAACTCGACTGACTACGAATAAAATGTCCGGCCTAGTGTTGGCTAAGTAGATAAGTCTACCTACCAACCTCTGATAAACTGTCGGATCTCTTAACTCCTTACCTTCAGTAGTAAGCTTCAGGTTTGGAATCGTGGGTGATGATGCCGGTTTGCACCCCAGCATCCCAGTGTCTAAAAGAAGATCTAAAACATATTTTCTTTGAGAAAGAACAACACCCCTGCCGCTATGAGCAACCTCAATCCCAAAAAAGTATCGTAGAAATCCAAGATCGTTCACATCGAAGGCCTTCCCAAGGTTTACCTTGACCTGTGCAGTCCCATAAATATCATCACCAGTAATAATAATATAATCAACATATACCAGAAGGATGACACATTGTCTAGAAGTATTCCATCGAATAAAGCAGGTATGATCAGAATGACATTTGGTGAACCCCAAACGTACAACTACATCACTAAAGCGAGAGAACCAGGTTCGTGGTGACTGTTTCAGTCCATAAAGAGACTTACGCAGTCGACATACCTTTCCAGCATGCTCATCCTTACCACGAAAGCCTAGTGGTGCATCCATATAAATAATCTCGTCCAAATCACCGTGAAGAAACACATTCTTCACATCTAACTGATGAAGAGGGTAAGAGTACTCTGGAGCCAAAGAAATAATCAACTGAACAGTAGTCAATTTGCCACGGGGACAAATGTAGCACCAAAATCACGACCTGGTACCTGAGTAAAGCCCTTCGCCACAAGCCTAACCTTATGACGATCAATAGTACACTCCACAAGAAACTTCAGAGTGTAAACCCAGCAACAACCAACAAACTTCACTCTTGAAGGTAAAGAGACAAGATCTCATGTATGATTACGCTGAAGAGCGTCCATCTTTGTCTGCATGGCAAGAACACACTAGGGCTCCCGTATAGCCTCCAAAACAGAGCGAGGAACTGACGTATCTGATAAGGTCATACTATAAGCTCGAAATGTAGGAGACAAATCACCATAAGAAACATAAGCAGAGATTGGATATAAAATTCTAGCAGTCCAACCATAACGATCAACTGGACGACGATCACGCCGTGGATAACGACGCTCTAAATCATCATCCTCCACTGATAATGTCTCATCAGGTAAAGGAACTAGCTCAACACATGCAAACTCATCAGTACTAACAACAGGGTGCATCAATATGCTCAATAAACTGAGAAGTATTACCTGTATCGCCTAAGGTAGAGGGGATATCAGCAGGGTGATGAGAGCAAGGGCGATGAGCATACACCTGCAAAGGAAGAGAGACTGTTGACTCCGTACTGACAGAGATGAATGGCTTTAGAGGAGGAGAGAAGAATGACACTGTAGGGATAGTGACCAATGACTCTGGCTCTTATGGTAATGAAAAATCAAGGGGAGTATCATCAACTGAAGGAGTAGACACGGGACTAGAAGGAAAATAAGGAATATGCTCAAAAAAAGTAACATCTAGACTGTGATACATACGGCGCCCAATAGGATCATAACACCGACACCCCTTAGATTGATGACAATAGCCCACAAAGATACAACGAATCGCTTTATCATCAAGTTTATAACGAGCAGGAGATCGATCCTGAACAAAACATGTGCATCCAAAAATACGAGGGGGGACCAAAAAAAGTGTCCGCTTAGGAAATAAGACCTGTAAGGGAGCCTTATGCTGAAGAACACGACTCGGCGTACGATTGCACAGTAATGTAGAAGTCAAAACAACAAAATGTCAATAAGATTTTGGTACTCTCATGCCTCTAAGCATACAATGTACCATCTCTATCAAACTCCTATTTTTTCTTTCAGTAACACCATTTTGCTTAGGAGTATATGGACAAGTGAGTTGCTGAAGATTACCCTAAGAAGAAAGATATG